ACACACACACACACACACACACACACACACACACACACACACATATTCACACGCGCGAGTGTAGCGCCACCTATACACGCGCATATACGCTGCGGCGGCTCTCGCCGTTGCTCGCCCGGCAGGCATCATGGCGGAATTAGAACGCCCCGCCACACTGATTGAAAGCCGCACACAGCTTTGTCGCGCCACGCCAAAGCCCGGCACCTGGGCGCACCTGATATTGCATTCTGTCGTGCTTTGTTATCGTCGCGTGCGCGGTTAAGCCGCTATAGTGCACTGGCGCCTTCATGATTGGCGGTTAGGATTAGGACGGAGGCTATTCTTGCTACCTTGACAGTGTGAAGCTCTACACCTATCAAGCGGCTGAGTCGAACACAACATGCAAAGTTAGCGGGTCAAACAGCGATGTACTCGGTATATGTATGCCTGTAGCTATGTCTATGCGACTCATAACATCGTGTAATGAATAGCGATGTATTTTATAGGTGCATATATCCAAAAGGGAAATGATTCTCAGTTGTCGACTATAGTGATATACGGGGTATGTGCATGTTTGTCGCTACTCGTCTGCTGCGGGCGTTAATTGCGACGCACTAATTGCAGTTGATATTTTCTGTACATAGAATATAACGCTTTTCATACAAAGCTGTGACGTCCTGTTGACGACATGTGTTCCACGGCGCACGTCGTCTCCTGAATGCCACGTGACGCTCCTCTGACCTCTGATCGCTGCGCATGCGCGCCTGCGGCTTCTTCTCTTCCGCTCAGTGCAGAAATTACGAGAGAAAAAAACTCATGAGAAGCGGGCAAGCGAGTTGACGCGAAGTCTGACGGTGTTTATCGGGCGACGGCAAATTGGGTCAATTATCATTAAATGTGAGACTAACATGAACGCATCGTTGCGATAAATTCGCAGGACGGTAACGCGCGCGTGCGTTTCTGGCTGTGCGTGATGGGGGAAAAACCACGCGCCGAGAGCGGTGTGTGTGTGTGTGTGGAGGGGGGGGGGTGTTTGTGTGTGTTGGTGTGAAAGAGAGAGATTGTGAGAGAGAGAGAGAGAATTAACGGTCGAACACGACCATTAGTTTCATTCATTCTTAGCGTCCATGCTGAGACGCATAAAACTTATAACAAAGGGAAAGAACGAATGAAAGAACCCGATGAATATCATTTACTTATTTCCTTTATCGCGCGCTTGTATACATCAAGGGCATTGATTGAAGGTGAATATCGGCTCGTCGTGGAATAAGAGAAGTACAGCAATCTTCACTGTTCCGCTAACTTACAATCAAGCTGTTCTTTATCAAAAGCCACTCACACGCACAGGAGAATTATCACTTACTAACTTTTGCCTTCTGAGATTTCAAAGAAAACGTGCAAGTAGGTTTTTTATCTGCAAACTCTTTTTGCAGACATATTGTTCCTTGTAGAATTAATTGACGTTTATTGTCTTTCAATCGACAGCTGCAAGCGAGAATGAACGCATGCGTGCGTGTGTATGTGCGCGCGTGTGTGTGTGTGCGTGCGTGCGCGTTTTGTGTATTTGAATGTATGTGCGATGTGTGTGCGCGCTTGCGCGCGTGTATGTTGCCGCACCGGCTCGACCTTGTGTAACGCTGAACCCGTCGGTACGCGGGCGCCGGCGCGCGCCGTCCGTGGCGCGGCGTCCGGGCGGCCGGTGGAACGTACTCCGCCCTTTTCTCGACCCCGATCTGGCTTCTGGAGAATGGAAGACCGTTCCGGTCAGGACCCACGCTCCTCTCCTCGGTTCTCCGACCCTCCGCCGCGCGCCGCGGCCAGCTTTCTCGACGCGAGCTCGTCCGTAGGCAGCGGGCTCCCGCCCCGGGCCGCCTTCTGGGCCCCACCGACGCCGCGTAGCTCAACGCGATCGCGGCGCGGCGCGCGCGCGGCACGTCCCCGGGGAGGCCCTTCGTACTCGTACGCACCAGGCGTGCGGCGGCATGGCGACGACGGCGCGCGCCGTGCGACAGCCCCCGCACGACCCCGTTCGTTGTTGACGGCGGCGGCAGCGCCCGACGGCTGCCGACGTGCGCCGACCGCGGCGCAGTCGCCGCCGCTGCCGGGTCGCCTCTGCGCCCGTGCCGAGCGACGAGGCGGCGGCGAGCATCGGTCGACGCTTCTCCGCCTGCCGGTGAACGAAGCTGAGCTCGCCCCCAGCTGCGTCGACCGTCGCGCTGCCGTAGTTGGATACGCGGGATGGCGGGGCAGGGGAGACGGCGTGACCCGCGCGCCGTGGCGCGAGCGGTGTCCACATACCCGGCCGAGCCTCGAGCTCCTGGCCTCAACGAGCGGCGGCGAACGTCAGCCGCTGGGGGCCTGTGTGGCGCGACGCACGCCCGTCGCCCGGCCGATGGCTTGTCCGCTCCGTCGAGCCGCCCGGCACTGAGCGCCTGGGCGCGTCCGGCGTGCAGCCGCCTCAGAGTATCCTTGGACGCGACCGCGACCAGCTGCGCCGACGGATCGGCGCCCCCTGCGAACTTCGTCTTCTTTCTACGTCCCTGCTCTCCGTCCGTCTCTCTCGGGCGGATTCTGGTCTTCTCTCCACCCCTGCTGCCGTTCTCATCCTCTCTTGCTACGGCGCTCTCGAGTTCGTTCATCGTCTGGCCCCGTCTTTTTCTCGTGACTGTTTGGTTCTGTGCTCTGTTCGCTCCTCCCTCTCTCCCTCTCTCTCCCCTCTGCTCTCTCTTTCTCTCTCTCGCCTCCCTCTCTACTCTTCCATCTCTCCTGCCCTCTCTCTCGTTTCTCTCTCCTGTCCTCTCTTGTCTGTCTGTTCGTGTCTGCTCTCTCCGCCGCTTCCTCTCTTTCTCTTTCTCTCTCGTTCTCTCTCTACCTCCTGCTCTCTCTCTTTTCTGGCTCCTCCTGATCGTTCGCTCTCCCCTAACTTCCAACCAGCCCACTTCATCCCTTTTCATCCCTGGTCCCTGGCCACGTGTCTCTTTCTCCTATTCGCACAGTCAGTCAACTAATGCGCATGAACTGCTCTTCCCCACTCGGTCGTCAGTCACCACTCTCTCTATATCGCGCTATTGCATACTCTTGTCGTTGCCATCTGTAGTCTCTCTACAACCTTTCCTCAGGCCTTTTGACAGCTCATGATTCGACATCTCCGTAATACTTCTCGATTCGCATGACAGCCGGAGCCACGCATAACGTGCGATACCCGTGCACAGTCCTTCTGCAGTACACTACTGACGAAATGCTCCGAAAACCGCTTGAGCCTGACGGTTGCTCGATTATATTGCGCGGCGCAACGCCTTACCACTTACGACGTTAGAGTCCGTCCCCATCCAGCCGACGCCGTCCCCACTAGCTGTCCTTTCCCTGTTATGCCCGGTGGTCGCTCTCACACGGGTTGCCGTAGGTGTGACAAGACGACTCACTAGTGTCAGTACTCCGCGTTACTGGGGATTCTCCTCCCGTTACCACGGCAGCGTTCATATCTGGACAATGCAACTTAAGTAAATGTGTTGGTTTTTTTGTACTATCCGACTGCCTCGTCTCACCACTCGTAAATGGTAAGTCTCTTTAATATCATCTGAATATCAATGGCAATTTAGTAGTGACAGTACTTATGTGAACAAACCTCGAGCGCAAAATTACAGATCGGCATCATCCCCCTGCCTGATCGGTGGTTTCACCCTGTGTACATTTCTCCAGGCATGTTCTGCCTTGTCATCTATGACAATACGACATCACGCAGGATCAATTACCGCTGTTTCCTATTGACACTGATTTGTTATAGGAAGATTCTTCCTGGCGAATATTGCGAGTCAACTTCCGTCTTCCGCCTTTACAGCTGAAATTCCGGTGCTTGCCGTTCATAATATAGCGCTCCTAAACTCCTATGTATGCGCCACGCATACACAGTACAACTAATATTTGTTCATAGGAGAATCTTCCGTATGCGAGCAAATAGTGTCATAAAGCAGCAAGCGCCGTATATGCGTTGGACGACGGCATATGCTTCGTATTCGGCATAGATTGCCTAGCTCAAAACAGGCTGGTGCATTCCCGCGATCCCCCCGCAATCCCACTTGTGCACGCCCACTGCTCCTCTTCATTTCCCGCAATGCATCTGGTATTCAGCCGTCGCGTCTGTGCCGGCGGCAACGTCACTACTCGCCAAACACGGCGAATCCTTAGCTCGCGCCGCCTAATGAAAAGTTGGATAACATCATTGCTGGCGCGCACTATTTTCGCATTTTCGCCCCGCGTTTCACTTGATTAGCGCTTCGGGGACACACGCCCGCTGTTATATGCACCAGTGCTTGGAGACTGAGACGTCGTCCTTCCCAATTACGTGGCCCATCTAATGCGGTTGTCAACTCTAAGTGAGCAGGCCGTACATCGCAGCACGGCAGCTTCGTCGCCGAGTTTCCTCCGCGGCGGACAACGAATGCCATTACAGGTCGTCGGCACGCGCTCGCTGGTGGGGCGAAGAAGCGTGACTCGCAGTTCCCCAGAAACTCGCGCTGCTCGGCTAATCGATACTCCTTGCCACGCCCGGCCCGCGACCTCGTCATCGCTCCGTGGCTGTGGGCGTGGCGGGGCGTTCATTATAACTCATAAATCCGGTCAGTCCGTTGGGCTTCGTTTA